AGATTCGAGTCCAGTAGGACCTTAGAGACTAGGGATAGGCACAATCCAAGAAAATGGAGGTTCGTCTGGGTTCGTGGTTCATAGGGCCTCATGAACCTTCATGAGCCTTCCTGTTTGCCAGACCTGTTCATTTCGTGAAGTGTCCTCCAGGATCTGTGTGTGGCAGGGAGGTCTATTCCGGGGGGGGGGAGTGAAAGAGATCATTGAAATGGCTTGCAACTATTTCAGCCTAACAGCTGGTGAGTGCACCAGCCCTGCTGTTAGGCCGAAATAGATGCAAACCATTTCAGCTACACCTCTCGTTCCCCTCACTTCCCACCATGAGCCCCATGAACCTCCGAAAAACACATGGAGGGTCATGGAAGGGTAATGAATAGGGATGGGCATGAACCCCAGTTCGTGAACCTCGACCAAGTGATTTTCGTCATGAATTTAGGTTTGTGACAATGTTTGTGCCCATCCCTCTTAGAGACCAACGAGATTTTCGGGGTATAAGCTGTCAAAAGTAAAAGTTTCCTGGACTTGGATCAAGCTGCCCTCTGCTAGTGTCTCCTAAGCCTTCCCTCTGCAAGTCTCCAGTTTCATAGACACCGGTGGCATTCCCCAGCTGCCGACCGAGCGGCCTTCAGTTCCTTTTATTTGTTCATTCCTTTGTCAGGGACTCTGTTCTGTCTAACCAAAAGGGATCTCCTGTGACCTTATACCCTGTAGAGGTCCCTTCCTTCCTGAAACCCTGCACCGTCCAGGCTCCACCCCCCGCAAATCTCCAGGAATTCCCCAATTATTTGCTGGCCACCCTCTTCAGCCTTCCGTGGCAGCCATTTTGTGGCTGCACCCACCACACGGTACCAGAATTCCAAAGGTATCTGCATGCTCCAAAAGGTTGGGGACCCATAAGTAAAGGTATCTATGAAAGGATTCCAAAAATTACAACTCAGATCTCTCGTCTGATCTACACACTCCCCACACTTTTCTTTACTTGACCTTCTTTTCTCCCTCCCATTTGTGATGCTTTGTCTTTTCAGCTCTCGACCATTGCAGACAGCATCGATCACGTCTTCCCCGTCACGGGAGGTTTTTATGCCCTCAGGGGAACCATTGATTCTGTAAGTGGATATTGCAGAGGCCTGGTAAATACCCCCCTTTCTCGATCAGCTCAGCCAATGTGAAGCATCGTCCATGACAGACCATTCAATTCTTTTCACATCCATAGATTCTGAAGAAATCCTGTATTGAGATTCTGGCTGCTGAAC